TACCATCTTCTGACCATGTCCATCCCTTTATGACCACAGTCTACCATCTTCTGACCATGTCCATCCCTTTATGACCACAGTGTACGATCTTCTGATGGCTACTTTCAGCAGGATAACGCTCCATGTCATAAAGCGTGAATCATCTCAGACTGGTTTCTTGAACACAACAATGAGTTCACTGGACTGGAATGGCTCCACAGTCACCAGATCTCAGTCCAGYAGACCTTTGGGCTGAGGTGGAACAGGAGACTCACATCATGGATGTGCAGCTGACAAATCTGCATCAACTGTGTGATGCCATCATGTCAACATGGACCAGACTCTGAGGAATGTTTCCAGTACCTTGTTGAATCTATGACACCAAGGATTAAGGCGGTTCTGAAGGTAAAAGAAGGTCCAACCTGGTCCTAACGAGGTGTACCTGATGAAGTGGCAGGTGAGTGTATTTTAGCTGTTGGAATATTGGCTTTGAGCGCAGAGATTCTCTGCTCTGGGTTTGGTCTGAAGTGTAATTCTGATGAAGCACCTAACGCCCCCCCCTCCTGGAAGAGTCCATCTGACCCACGTTACGGTGGTCTCACCTGACAGGCGTCCACGCCGCCCTTCAGGACTCCGGCACACAGCATGTTGTCAGTGACCTGCTCCTGCATCAGATCCTTACACACGGTGCTGTTGATGACCCGGACCTGAGCCTTCTGCAGGATCTTGGCTAAATCTCCTGAAACAAACCAGAACCAAACAAATGAGAGGAGAAACAGACGTTTTATTCTGAAACTCTGACTTCCTCCTCACCTCCTTCTATGGTGGCGCCCCAGCCGGTGATCCACGCCTCCTGGCCTACAGGGAAGTCGTAGGTGGGGGAGGGCAGGCAGATGGGCCAGATGTACTGGTTCAGAACCACGAGGGAGTCCAGCTGCATCAGGGCCAGGTCGTTGTCGAAGGTCAGGGGGTCGTATTCCGGGTGGGCCACGATTCGCTCGATGTTCCTCTTCTCTGTCCACTCATTGGTCAGACCCTGGACATGCAGACCCAGGAAGGCCTCCCACAGCTGGGCCTGAGAGTACCTGCAGCAGAACCACAGGGATATTAGCAGAACCGGGTCTGACCCAGGTCTGACACAGGTCTGACACAGGTCTGACCCGGGTCTGACCCAGGTCTCAGGATGTTTCCTGTACAAACAACCGGTTCACTTCTGGAGCTCAGAGAGCCAAACAATCCAAGTAGGCGTCTCTGCAGGACGTGTGGTCTTGTGGGCAGAAACGGCCCAATCTGTGATTGGTGGAAGTTTTTATGTGGGCGGAGTTGACCCTAATCATGATTGGCAAAGTTGGTGTGTGGGTGGAGTTTTCCCTAACTGTGATTGGTTGGATTGACTTGTCTTGTGGGACAACTTAAAAGAAGAAGTAATAACAGTAAAAAAATGATTTATTGACTGTCTAGGTACAGTTTAAAACAGAACAAAGACATAAAAATTATTGTGAACATGTAAACATAATTTCACTGAAAATTTAATGCAGAAAGCTTCTTCCTGTCTTAAATTATGATTAATATTCATATTCATATAGATTTTAAGTGATCTTTTTACAGGCTGTTAGGGCTGTTTCATCCCTCCATATGTCAGGCGTTCAAATTTCGTGCAGCTAGCACCTTTCTTTCTCCAGTTATGACGAAAATTAATCTTCAAATGTTGCTTCCTGCCCGACGTGAAGCTACTCCAGGAGCAGGGCTGTCTCCGCCCACAAAACGTTCTGCAGAGACCCCCTTCTGAAACATTCTCCCAACAAGGAACAGGAAACTGAACGGACCGGTCCGGTTGGTTCTGACCTGACGGTGTCGTCGTCCTGGACGCAGTGGGCAGCGGTCAGCAGCCAGCGGTTGTTCAGAACCGACGCTCCACAGACGTGACCCGTTCCTCTGATGTGCAGGCTCACCTGCCAAGGCCACTCCCCCTCCCGCGCCATCTGACCGCCAACGATCCGGGAGCTGCGGAACGGTGGCGTGCCACACCCTGAAACCACACACAGCTTTAATCATGTGTGTCTGTGTGTGTGTGTGTGTGTGTGTGTGTGTGTGTGTGTGTGTGTGTGTGTGTGTGTGTGTGTGTTTACCACAGTTGGACTCATCAGAACCGTCCTGGCAGTCCTGCTCACCGTCACACTCAGGGTTCAGTTTACTGATGCAGCGTCCGTCTCTGCAGCGGAATGTGAAGTCCGAGCAGCTCAGCTGCAGAGCTGTAAACAACAACAAACAAACAAACAAAGAGCTGAACAACAACAGAGACAGTCAGAACCAGTCCTGTTTGATTCTGTTCCAGCTCGGGAAAGAAAAGATCCGGTTGTTATCTCCTACATTTTCCACATCTGGACTCATCAGAACCGTCTCCACAGTCGTCCCGTCCGTCACACTTCAGCGTCTCTGAGACACAGAGACCGGTTCTGCAGGAAAACTGTCCGACTGGACATGTTTCTGCAGACAGGAGACAGTTGGATCAGAGCCTGAACAGTTTCCACTCAGCAGGAAGAACTTCCTGATGAACTCACTGCACTTCTGTTCATCACTGTTGTCTCCACAGTCGTCCACACCGTCACACTGCCACAGTCTGGACTTACACTGACCGTTTCTGCACTGCATCTGGGACTGCTCACACTCTGAGACAAGAGCCGTTAGTCAGGATGACCTGTGTCCTCACCAACAGGTACAGTCAACAGGTGTGGACAGGTAAACAGGTGTGAACAGGTGAACAGGTGTGGACAGGTGTGGAGGACTCACTGCAGTCGACCTCGTCACTGTCGTCCTCACAGTCGTTCCAGCCATCGCAGCGCAGAGTGTTGTTGATGCACATGTTGTTGCTGCAGCGGAACCTTCCGGGACAAGCTGAGGACAACGTCACACACTGAACACAAACATCTGAACCATCTGACCCTGAAAGGCCACAGACACTGGTCCCATTAGAACCTTCTGAGGGACGACATCTTACGGTTAGACGGGACGAAACCTTCGTAGACGGCCACGAAACCCTGATGGACGAGAGACGCGTCGGAGACAAACCTGATGGTCATCAAGCTGCTCTCGCTGGTGAACACCGTGTTTTCCAAGTTCTTGCCACACAACCTTCATGGACACAAAACAGGAAGAGTTATTGTGGATCATCAGAACCAAACATGGGTCAACAACAAATTGATTCATATCAAACACTGCTCTATGCCCAACTGAATCCTCTGGTCTAAAATGAATCGTCTGATCCAAATTGAATCGTCTGATCCAAATTGAATCGTCTGATCCAAATTGAATCGTCTGATCCAAATTGAATCGTCTGATCCAAATTGAATCATTTGATCCAAACTGAATCATTTGAACCAAACTGAAGCATCTGATCCAAACTGAATCATTTGATCCAAACAGAATCGTTTGATCCAAACTGAATCGTTTGATCCAAACTGAATCATTTGAACCAAACTGAAGCATCTGATCCAAACTGAATCATTTGAACCAAACTGAATCATTTGATCCAAACTGAAGCATCTGATCCAAACTGAATCATTTGATCCAAACTGAATTGTTTGATCCAAACTGAAGCATCTGATCCAAACTGAATTGTTTGATCCAAACTGAAGCATCTGATCCAAACTGAATCATTTGAACCAAACTGAATCAACTGATCCAAACTGAATCATTTGAACCAAACTGAAGCATCTGATCCAAACTGAAGCATCTGATCCAAACTGAATCAACTGATCCAAACTGAATCAACTGATCCAAACTGAATCAACTGATCCAAACTGAATCATCTGATCCAAACTGAATCATCTGATCCAAACTGAAGCATCTGATCCAAACTGAAGCATCTGATCCAAACTGAATCAACTGATCCAAACTGAAGCATCTGATCCAAACTGAATCAACTGATCCAAACTGAATCGTTTGATCCAAACTGAATCAACTGATCCAAACTGAATCATTTGATCCAAACTGAATCGTTTGATCCAAACTGAATCATCTGATCCAAACTGAATCATTTGATCCAAACTGAATCAACTTATTCAAACTGAATCATTTGATCCAAACTGAATCGTTTGATCCAAACTGAATCATCTGATCCAAACTAAATCATCTGATCCAAACTGAATCATTTGATCCAAACTGAATCAACTGATTCAAACTGAATCATTTGATCCAAACTGAATCATTTGATCCAAACTGAATCAACTGATTCAAACTGAATCATTTGATCCAAACTGAATCATTTGATCCAAACTGAATCATTGTCCAAACTGAATCATTTGATCCAAACTGAATCATTTGATCCAAACTGAATCATTTGATCCAAACTGAATCATCATTGTCCAAACTGAATCATTTGATCCAAACTGAATCATTTGATCCAAACTGAATCATTTGATCCAAACTGAATCATCATCTGATCCAAACTTAACTGTTAGATAGAAACATAAAATTTCAATTTCATGAGCATCAATATTTTACTTCCAGATCTCAGGAGCAACTCCAGTAAAAACCTGTTTGTAAAATATTATAAATATAAAACATTAATTTCTATAATTCACTGAATAAAGGAATAAACGTCCAGTTTCTCACCTTTCACCATCAACCTCGACGTAATCCTTCACACAGTTCTTACTGTCGGTTCCTACGGAGAACGTCTTGAACTGAACCTTCACAAACTTTTCCTTTGAAACCTGACAGATGAGATGAAAATAGACGAGAGACGATGACTGGATTAAAGATTCATGAACCAGATGGATGTTCTGCTGGTGGAACGTTTCAGAGACAGAACCAGGAGAACCTACCTGGATGTTCCACTCACAGTGGCTCCGAGGAGGATAGTTGGATGGGTAGAACGGTGAAGAAAAGGAGCCTTGGTCTGCTGTGAGTCTTCCTCCACATTCTGAAGAAAAAGATGTTAAAACCCTCAAACATTCAGGAACAATTTTTTCATTTCTTTTTTTAATGACGAAGAAAAAAAACACAAAAAATCTTGTTTTTTTTAATTAAAACAACAAAAGATCAGATTGTTCTGAAATCAGCTGAGAAGTTGGAGAACTTCCATTAGAAGAAAATGTTGAACATCAGGATTTTAAAGAAACTCATTTAAGAAGTTTGACTAAAACTTTGGTTTTGAAACAATCAGAACCAAATAAGACGGAAACTTTGATCAGAAAAAAATCTGAAATAATTATTTTCTAAAATTAGTAACTCAGATTATTAAAAACAGATTTTCCAATAAAAAAGATTTTCTTCTAATCAGGCAGTTCTTCTGTTTTACTTATTTCACTTTTTTAAAAGTAGTATTTTAATATAAAACATATGAAAAATGGTGAAGGTCTTTTCTGACCTTTAATCCAAGGTCAGAAAAGACCTTCACCATTTTTTTAAATTCTTTAAAATTCAAACCAATGAAAACAATCCAAACTGGACTCAAAGAGGAGGTCCTCTCCTCACCTGKTTGCTCTTTGACAGGAAGCTGGGAGTAGCTGGCCTTGAACCCAGGGAAGTTCTTCTCCTCGTCGGTCACCAGCGTCAGCAGCATGACGTTCCCAGAGGACAGGAAGGACAGCGAGTCCTGGGGGTAACCACACTGTCTGCAGGGGGACACAGACCCCGTCACTCAGAGGACGACAGGTGGGG